ATGATCTACTTAGGATGAAGATAGCTCTGTTTCAAATATTATGTGCTTGTTTACGAACATATAGTTTGGTGGACAGTGGACCAGTCAAAGTAGAGGAACAAGTGGCTATATTTCTCAAAGTGTAAATGAGATGGATATGGAAAATGTGGAGATGGATCATAGCTCAATTAATGCTCATAAGCGTACAACCGAAGAGGGGACGTAAAGCCAAGCGTCGACATAAACAATCGGTGGATGAGAGTACTATCGCCCTGTTGAGGATTGCCGAGTCATCTACAAAAATTGCTCAAGCTATGGAAATGCAAGCTACACTAGATACACAAAACTGGCAATTGATTTTAGAGAAGCTGGAGGCAATGCACATAGACATGAATGACGTAATGGAAGCTATGAAAGCCTTTCAATCTGACGATGGTTTGGTTAAGGTATTTATGAACCTGATGAGCAAGAAATACATGCGTGCTTTGGTTTTTGACAAGCTTGGTCATGATCCGCCTCCACTACAGTAGATTCTACGAATTTGACGGTGTATGTATGAAGTTTTATGTATTTGTAGAACTTAATCCACTTACATGGTCTTTTGAATTTTTTTTGTAATGCACATACGTACAAACTAGGGTGCAGTGTTATGTAAATATTGGATTGATAGTTTTTGGTATAATCTCTCAATAGTTGGAGGTATTTTTAGAAAAGGGTTAGCTTTTGTTGATGGATTTTGAAGCCCAGCTGATGTATGTGTATTGTGCATGCTTTGGATTGATGGATTTAGAATTGTCTTGGTGTTTGTCTCGTTAATTAATGAGGTCCAACAGTTTATTTTTGCATTTTTTAAAAAATTTTGACTAGGATAATCCCGTTGGAATTGGATATAGTTTTGTGGAGCAAGATGATAAAAACCTGCTTGTTAAAACTGATGTTGAAGCTACAAATGATTTCACTACATTGTTGATAGAATTTTTTAATGCACATGAGCCTCCAAAACAATCCTATTTATGTAGTGGCAGAGTTGAGAAATTTTTTTGATAGCTAACAAATTGATTTCAAAAAATAGTCCGTCTCAGCAAATTAAACAAGAACTTGTAGCGGTAAGTTTGTAGAGGCAGCAGAGATGTAGAACGAACTCGAGAATGTTATTATTTCTAGCAGCAACTCAGTGGTAAAATTCCATAAGAATCTCTACTCAATCAAGTGACAATTTGATTGTTTTAATTGCATATAAATCATTTTTCTCGAAAGATAAAACATTCTGAATCGCGCACAATGATATATTTTTGCAGTTTATTCCACGCTGAAGAATTTTACTAGGGTGAAACATTATTTTTCTTTAGACTATTCAATTTTAAACCATTGTTTTGTATTATCTTTTGTTCATGGTTTCTTGGAAAATGGCAATCAAACACCAATAGTTGGAAAAAAAAAATTTCATGGAAAACAAAGCCTATCAAACAGCTAAAGATGGAAAAGATCATAATTTTTCATGGAAAACAAAGACAATCAAACACCAAAAGACGAAAAATCTCAACATTTTTTGGGTGGAAAATTATACTAATCAAATACAACTATTTGACATTTCCTAGAAAAATAAGTTCTAGGCAATTATTATCCTGAAATTTGTTTTCTTTTCACCCAATTTTTCGAGGAGCAATCAAGAGGACCCTAAGTACAAGGCCAAGGAGAAAAAAAAAG